GAGTGAGTGAGTGAGTGAGTGAGTGAGATGGAGGAGGCGTGAGATGGAGGAGGCGTGAGAGTAGGATGGAGGGCGGGCGACGGGCGAGCGACGGGATGCAAATCAAAGCAAGACCGGCAAGACCCTCACACAAATGTCACAAAGACTTGTAGAAGAACAGAGTCTTGGTTATGGAGATGCATACTGTAGAAATGTCATGAAATGTCCGTCAGATTTCGTCAGGTCCTAAAACCTGTGCCACTTGCATCCGGAATCCTAAAACTTGCCCACATTTGCCCCCCCCCCAGTGTTCTTTCCATCGCTTCCAAAAGCCCCATGCTGGCCCTTCTGAACACATTCGGACTGCAGGAAGCCAGTCCCGACTGCCCACCTCACAACACTCGGTTCGTGAATTTGGAGTATTCCCGCGCATTGTATGCGTGCGTGTTCTGCCAAGAGGCGTTTGTAGTATCCAGTGCGGTCCCTGCGCCATTCTCCGTGATCTCTTTCTCACTCTCATGTGCACCGTGACAGGCCTCCTGGTGAAGCGTCTTGCGCACCTGGTGCAGAAGGCATCGTTCTTTACCCTTCTGCGCGAAGGGATTTGGGAAGCACATCTGCAACTTCCAACAAACCTATGTCAGCAGCAACTGGTAACTAGTGGAATCCTCCACCAAAAAGACACCAATCACAATGACCAACAAGAGTGACTTGGGCAAATGTCCAATGCCTGAAAAGTTTCCAAGTCGGGCTTGTCAATAAACTGTCGAAGCTGGATATTCTCTGACAAGAGCCGCTGGTACTCCTCTCTCCAGTCGAAAGGCAAAGCTTGGGATTTGCTGCTTGCTTGTTGCACCCCAAACATGGCTAGGCCTGAGAAACAAATTGTTGCTTCAAACCAAATCCCACGAAGGTCAAGGTCTGCTTTTGAGTTCACCTGGTTCGCTCCTGGGTGATCAGGGAGATGCCGTCAAAAAAGTGGCCTAGGATGGCGCTTGGACAATTCTGCCTTCTCCTGTCCATCCAAACCAGCCATCTGACACGAGAGTTTCTTGACCACCAAGCCAACAGCGGTCACAACATTAGTTAGAACCTTGAAGATAACCAGGGAAGGACGCTTTGCACTTGCTTAGCTGCATGATGCGTGGCGCGTGGCGCGCATTTTCAGCACGTCCCTTTGAAACCCTTTGTGACACCCGCATCAAATATCCTTACGTAAATCATATGAAGCGAAGTGGAGATTCCACATGCAGCTTTCCCACTGCTCCCCAAGCCTGCGAAATGCTGCCAAGAGGCTCTGCATTTCAGCCATGGAGTGAAATCAGGTTCTACACCAGTCTAACCTACCTCCCCTTAACTCCCGAAGCAGAAAGCCCGAGCACAAGGCTGGGGGATTCTCGCCACCTCAGCTTGTGTGCCTTTGCTATCCTGTTTTTTCAGGCTCCTTCAGGGTTGCCACCAACCAATTGGACTGAAGGTGCGCCTGCGGGAAAAGAGATGCGAATGCTTCAATAGCTCCGTATGCCAGAAAACGGGGAAAACGTTGGATGAGCTTTATTCCACCCTGTTCTATTGGAACCAACGCTAGGTGGGACTCTCGGCAACCCTGAATGAGATTCTGCTACCCCACCGGTCCCACGCGTCTGAGAGCCAAGACCAAACTCCCGGGTGACAAGTGGGATGATCCCAGAGTCCAAGCAACCATGAGCGTTCGACCGTGATAGACTCTAATAGACTAACTGATTTGTCTGTAATTGTAAAAGTATTTATATATATATATGTGTGTGTGTATCCGCAAGTGGGAATGTCCTTCACTCCTTTCATGAGGATTCACTCTTTTCGTCATGATTATATAATTGATTCGTAATGTTCTTTCTGTGCACTGGATCAACTGCTTTGCACCTCTCCCAACTGTTGCTGGCTACAGTGGCCAGAGCGCCCCTTTGTGTTCCGACATGCTTCAACTGCTTCGGCAGCACATTGTTCCTGAGCCATCCATGCTGACGCATGAATCGTCTGACGCAGGAAACAGGCATCACTCGCTATTCCGCCTTCTCCACCTGACCCAGGGTGGCTTGATGGACCAATTGTGCCTGAGAGAAGCCTAGGCGCCCAAGTTGTTTGGACTTCCACGGTGGAGGTTATCAAACCTCCTGGGCAGTTTCGCCCAAGGCTCCGAAATTTGGAGCAGTGACACAAATGCCTCCAAATCGCAAAGCGCAAAAGCAACAAAAGAGTACATTTGTTGGCTGATGTCAATCGCATGGCAGCCAGCAACCCTTGCACTCTACAAAACGCTTTGTTCATTTTTGTTCATAATTTGAACTTGCGATTTGCTGGAAGATCGAAGTCCTATACCAACTTCGCTAAGTCCACTAGCTATGTTGCGTGCATGGCCATTTTACCCTGCACTCGCATGGCAACATTCCAAACAGTTTGTCCCCTCTACAAAGTACACAGGTTTCGTCAATCTGGGCACATTACTGGATTTCACAGATTCCACGATCGAAAACCAAGGAATCCAAAAAGCACTTGGTGGGTACGCATGTGGTCACCCGAACAGAACACTTGGAACGTCGTCCAAGGGCTGCTTCGAGCCTGCTTCAGCCTCATTCCTCAACCGAATCTTTCGCCGGCCTTGGCGAAGAGTATACAGTGCTAAGACAGTTGTATAAGGGTCTTGGTCTTGGTCTTGCCTCCTTGGCGACTGACTTCGTTGCAGCAAATGGCAGCGGGTTACATTCACTCTTTGGCAGCTGCGAATGACTATGCTTGAACATTTATCTCTGGGCAAGGCTCCGAGGCAGGTGAACCCCCATCTTGCAACGTCCATCAGCTTCCCTGATAGCCGATAGCATGTAAGACTGCTAAGATCTAGTCAATCTAGTCTAGGAGCTTTTTCCAAGTCCAAGATCTTCTTCAGCTCAGCTCTCTCCCCTTCTGGATCGTCACTCCTATTATTGATTACCCTTTTTTCTCACCTGACCCTCTTCGCTAACAATTCTCACAGCTCTTCTTGGCACCAGACCTTTCAATTTTTGGTCTTAAAAAGTTGAGGTACAAATTCCGGAACGGCCTGGCACGCGAGGAAGCAGCGCACAATGAAACTATTTCAGCGTCTGCCAAAACGTACTGTCAAGTCGCTTTTGAGGGGCCTATCGCTTTTGCAGTTTTTAGCTCAATTCCTGAAATTCACGACCCCTCTCTACTGAATAAGTAATCGCAAGTTTTGGTGCTTGCTCATATGTCTTTTTTAAAGGTTTAACCCTAATTCATGATTTGTTCGGTGATGACAAGCAATAAACAAGGATTGCAGGGTAAAAAAGCGTTCATGTTACCATGTTCCGCAACATGACTGCAGGTGTTCGCCTAGCATCCCAACTGTTCAGCAAGTTTTCTCTGGGGTCACAAGCCGGCCACACCATGGCAGGCACCAAACTGGGCCGGTAGCAAAGCCGTGGAAATTGCAACGCGACTCTGGTGTCTTTGGGGTCAACTCCAGTACGAAGATGCCAGCAGGTCTTTGAAGAACATTCCTATTTCAAAATCTTGGAAGTGAGTCTCAGTAGCTTCAGGAAGAAAGAGAGTCTGCGTTGTGTTAAAAGTAAGCTATTAACTTCACAAGTTCACAAGACATCTCATAAGTGACTAGCAAACAACCTGCTGACTGACTGGTCAGTTCATCAATACAATGGTTAAAAGGTTCTCTTGGCAGCTGGCCAACATAGTCGTACTCCTGTCAGTTGCAAACAGCGGAACGTCAGCCGGACAACAGTAAATGTCTTGCTACCAATCTGATAGACATCCAGTAGATGTACAGCAAATACAACATAGCGTACACCCGCTGGTGTGATTTGTACGCTGATGGTTCAAGTGCTTCCTATAAAAGCTCTCCACAGCTCCTTCCACCTGTACCGCTCAATGGAGCCAGCGGCCACTCGGACCTTTTGATACCTGGGCATATCTGCTGAGTCCTGTTCTTCACCCTAGCAAACTCATTGAAATAAGACCCTATTCAACAGCCCACCCCAGATCAGATTCTTCTCTAAGGCTGGCAAACTTTCTGTTGTAGTTGTAGCTGTGTTTAAGCTTAAGTGTGTTTAGCTTGGTACTTGAATTACAGAACAAACTGTCACAATTCCTGCACAAACAAGAATTGGACATCAACATGTTCATACATTTGCACTAAGAGCAGGACTCATGAATCAGCACGGCGATCCAGCAGTTCACAAAGACCAACCTCAGCAGTTTCACTTTGCACGAATGAATGGAATTCTCTGTGAACAACATTGAACAAATTCCTGATTATGTCTTGGCATCAAATTCATTCAAACTCCTCATTAATCTACCGATGCTGAAAGCCAAACCTGCATAAGAACCACCACCTCTCTGTGAAAAGCTACAGCTCATTTGGGTTTATTTGGTCCGTTGAGTTGAGTCACAACTGTGTTGATTGCCAGCGCCAGTCACAGCTGTGATGTCAAGTTCTGATATCTTCAGCTTCGCACCTGGTGAAATAGTAGAGGCAAACGTTGAAACTCAACCTTGGCAAATCTCACACCCGGCAAAGGGTCTTTCCTAGCTGCCGAAGAGTTCCAGCTCCGCATGCTGAAAAGTTTGGGTGTTCCGAAGCAAGTCTTGAACTGGCAATGCGCGAACTGGATCAAACGATGACTTGGTTCCCAGCTGCCACCCACGATTCGGATCATAGTCCTCGAAAAGCACGCTCGGAATTGATCGATATGTCAAGATCCACTTTTCAGGTGCCTAAACTGGAGTTCTTTTGAATGGAGGTCTTTTGGTCAACCAAAGCTTCCCAACTCCCAACTGCTGTGTTTCCCATGCTGCAACGACATCTAGTGCAGCACTTCCCCGTTGGGTAAGCCACTGGTAGGACAAAGACTCCTCTGACACCTGGAGCCTATAGATACGTCAAGCTCAGATGAGCTGCAAGTCAATTCCAGAACAAACGAACTTAACTTTGAATGGAATTGCCTAAGTCCGTCCTTGACTGTCTCGACCTCCGCGTAGATCAACAGCATCACTCGCATGGCGGAAGACCAGAAGGTCCTGACAGGGGGTCGCTTGATCAAGCGAGATATTGATATTCAAAAATGACTGAGATGTCAATTCAACTGCAGTTCCGTGCACCGTTTGCCTGGGGACTAATTCTCACATTAACATTGCCTACCACAGCAAACCACGCTCACTCCTGTTCATCTCATCATAGGAGGAACCAACGGCCATACTCACAAAAATCAACCCAACAAAGACTGGCAGGCCAATGGTGAGAAGCCTAGCCAAGCAGCCGTGGCGGTTTACATTCAACAAGTCCAGACCTATTGTAGATGATCTGTCTAGAGCATCACAATGATTTGAATCGTTGCAGACTTCTTTTTCATGTCTTTTCATCTGTTGAATTCCAACAAATGATCTTGCGAAAGTACAGCTCGTGATGGCACCTGAAAGCCACGATGGCGGCTTGTTGTACCGTGGTCCAAATCAGGAAGAACTGGCCAGATTCGCAGGACAAGTCGGGCAAGCGCACTCCAAAAAGCGCCCTTGTTTCAAGTGCTCTGACGGCTCTGATGTGTTTGGGTGATGCTTCTTGGAGTTTCAGCAACTGCACTCCAAAAGATTGGAAGAATGACGGAGTCGGGAGCACATGGCGGTTCACGCGCATGAAGAAGGCAAAGCGGTACAAGAGCAGCCCCTAGGCACGGCCATGGTGAATCAAGGTGTCCATTCTCTGAAAAGAAATCTTCTATATGGTGCTTTTTTTGCATGTTTCACTCATGCCAACTCCACCAGTTTGCCTGGCGGATTGTCCGGAGATCTTTCCGTCCACCACTATATACCTTTAATATTGTCGTTGTGTTGGTCTCGTATTTTTGTTGTATATTGTGGCTTTACAGTTGTGTTGGATGACTGAAGCAATCTGAAGCACAAGTAGTGTGCAGAAATGTGCACAGAGTGTGAGGTCGGGCTGCATATCGTACTGCCCATCGCTGTCTTATCGGCCTGAATTTCTACCGGGCTTCTGTGGGATAGTGCACCACCGGTATGAGCAACGCAAAGGCTGCAAGAGAAGGTTTATCTTTCTTGCAGTGAAGGAGGCATGTTTCTGACACAAAAAATGAGACGCAAACATTAAATTTGTGACCACGAGGGTTTGATACATCTTTAATTTATATCTGCTGTATCATGTCATCGAGCAAGCCCGACAGAATGATAATGTACAAAATGCAAATAACACCAAAGGACTAAAGCTTAGTTTCCGACAAAATCTCGGAACCATTTCATACACCGAGCGTTCTTCAAGGAGTTTGAAGAGACTTCCTTGCTGCTACTTACTTGCCTCGTCCTACTGTACCACGAACTATTATCTCGCCTGCGACCCAATGGTACTAGGTTGGAGGCCATCGCCAGGAAGTTGGAGGCCATGGCTACTAGGTTGGAGGCCATCGCTCTTTCCTCCCCAAAAGTGCAAAGCATCAGAGGCACAGAGATCACCGCATCGATGGCGATGTGAAGCTTGAACTGTTTTGCAAGCTCTCCAGCCTCGGCCAAACGGCCAAAGCGTCTCCCCTAAGAAACTTTATGAAACATTTATATACATTGCTATGTTACTAGCTAAGCTATACTGCACTCCCTTGGTTGCTACTTGACTTCCCAGATGAAGAGTACGTGAAAGTGTGTTTGTTCTTCGATTATTTGCCGATTATATATATTCTATTAGACGCTAAGGCGTTAGAAGAGTGGTGAAGTCTAGATTTCTCTAATGTGTTTCTGGGCGTTGTTCACTAGGCCTTTGCCAACCGCAGCAAGCGGCACATCAATTCTGGCTCGGGCTGGCTGATTGATTTTTGACCCTTCACGGCTAAGTCCCCCTGGCGTCTAAGGGTGTTTGCGCATGTTGCACAAAGTAGTCGATGGACAGCACCTGAGATGCAAAACATCTGAGTCCGACAAAAAAATGGTTATATAAGTTATATATAGTATATGTAGTCATATATGCAATACATATCCAGCTGAGAAGGCAGGGGACGAAAGCCAGCCTCCGTAAGAAGAGATCAATATGGTCAGGGGGGGTGAACGCGAGAGCGGAAGCTCTGGGATGTAGCAGTCGGGGCCGATATGACAGGCCCTCAATCACAGGTGGGGGGGGATGGGGTGCCCTTTTTCTTTTGGATGAAGGGGCGTTTTGAAGAGAAAAAGGGGCACCCAGAAGTCACTGAGAGGCGCTTGTCTGCGGTTTGTTTCTCGTGTTTTGTAGATGGACTCATAAACCTGGTGCGCTGTTAAGAGTGGACCGCCGTATTGTTATGGGGGGAGTCGACATGGCGGTGATGTCCACTGCTGCTGGAAATCGAAAGCAGAAGATATGTGTTTGGGGGGGTTCGCTTTGTCCTTCGACTTAAAGGGCGTTTTCAAGCTGAGAAAGGGCACCCCCAAAGAATCGGCGGGCGCTCGCATGCTGTTCGTTATTGACGGTGGTCCGTTGTTACAGCCAAGATCAAGTGAGTGTTTAACATCGGGCAAAGGGTAGCTTTGTTATGGGGTGAAGTCGACATGGTAGCCACGGTGATGGGTGGTAGAAACCAGAAAGCAGAATACATAGTACAGGGGGTGCCCTTTTTCTTCGCGGCGTTTTCAATGGGCACCCCCGAGGAAGTGGCTTGGCGGCTGTTTGTTGTTCTTGTCTTGTAGATGGAGTATGATGGAGTCATAACCTCGGCGCGCCGCCAATCGGATTGATGGAAGTCTACTGCGAAGATCACGGATTGCCTAACATCACTTCTCACTTTCCCGATGAGCTCCCGACCTCTGCTCCCGTCACGGCGCGCCCCCCTTTCCGCCTAACTCCCTGGGATAGCTCGGCGCCCTTTTGCATTCGGTTAACAGCCCTCTTCACCATCACAAGGAGAATCCTCAAGCCACATCGCCTTCCTTGCTTGTCACGGACTGCATTCTGTTCCCTCTCCTATCCGCAACGGATAACATCCTGGCTGACGTTCCCTTCCACTCTCATTAACCACAAGTAAGTGATGGTTGAGAAACGCACATCTCACTTTCCTGCAGTATTCCCGGCATCTTTTCCTGTCGCGTTGTCCCCTTCCCTCTACTATCCTCTAGAGGTCACGTTCTCTCCAGAGCGCTGAGCGACGCACTTCTCCCTGCCCTGGTGAGCTCCCCACCTCTGTTTGTATCGCATCTTCCCCGGGTATGCATATCCTCCACATGAAATCCAACCCATACAGGTGCCCTAAGCAACTCTAAGCTTGCCCACTGCACTCTGTTCCCTCTCCTGTCCTCAACGGGCCACATCGTATCACGTCCTCCTCCGCTATGCCTGTCTTCCACATGAACTCCATTTGGGGTGCACTTTTGCGTCTGGCTACCAGGCCTTTTCACCATCAAGCAACTCAAAGCTTGCCAACTGCATTCGGTTCCCTCTCCTGCCTTCAACGGATCACATCATTTCTTGCAATCCCTTCCACTCAGATTAGCCACAAGGAAACAGAGTGTTGGGAGATGCAACCCAACCACTCCCACCCCTGGTAGCAGACTGTTTATATAAGTAGGCTCCAACCACTTTTCGCGTCCCGTGTCCCGTGTCCCCTCTTTCCTCTCCCCGACATGAACTCCCACCCCTGGTACAATAAGACTGTTTAAGTTGCCTCCTGAGCCCCTCATGACGCTAATGAACTCTTCGGCGTCAATTACATCACTTGCATCACAACATCCCATTTTCACTCGCATTCAAACGCACTCCCTTTTTCACTCTCCCCCACCAGGCTCTGGGCTCGCCCTACCAGATTGGCCCTCTACGCGACCACCCACACACCCTAATACTCACTTCGTTCGCCCATCGACAACTCCAGCCTAGCCTATCGGCTGGCTTTCGTAAATATGTGCAGGGGTCGTTTGTTATGTTCGTGACTTTTTGAAGATACAGTAATCCAAACTAGCGGGAAGCAACAGAATGAGAACTCACCACCTTGGAGAAGCCAACTCGACAACAAAGGTTCAATGTGTACTAGTATATATTTTATATATTTTTATATTAATATATACGGAAGTTCTGAAATTACGGATGCGTAGTCCTTCAAAGCACATCTCTCCACTGGGATCACCACGTTAAAGTTGCCATAGCGCAAGCCAAACATCACGAAGAAGGTAACACCCAAGGCCAAGTCAACCAAGCCCTGGTCGAGGCATGTCAAGCGGAGCAGCCAATCTCAATATCCCATATCATGACTGCCAAGGTGGAAAAACCGGGTTGTCCTTGTAGGTGACACCTGACTGTCACTTCCAATCAGTCACCTGTTCATCTGTATATGCTTCCTCGGTGTATTTCTGCTTGTGCGATGGGAAGCGCCTGGACGGAGTAGAAGTGCTTGCAGCCAGAACCATTCACCCGTCTTTCGTACATGAAGTCCCAGTAGATCTGCAACGGATGGAACATGATGGAACTGCGATAAAGTGGTGGGATCCGGAATTATCTTTTCTATTGCAAAGCAGAGCACGGCCCGTGGGCCGCGCAACACCCAGAACCCCACCTGAAGTGGGCAGATCAGCAACACGAAGAAAAGCCTAGGTGGTCAGGTTGGTTGCCGGGGCGCTCAATCTTTGCAGGGCATCATACTACATAAAAAGATCCAAACATGCAAGTCAACCAGGACTTCAAGTGTGACCAAGGATGATCACGCCAGTCACCCTGTAAGATCTCCACCGGATCACGTCGGTCAAGAGCTGCTGAAGGCCAATGTTGTACTCGATAATGCCCGGCCTAAACAAGGCTTGTCTTTCGCACATTGTCTGAAGGAAGGAAGGAAGGAAGGAAGGAAGATTCATGCGCTGAAAACCAGGGCTGTATCAGAAGGAAGGTCATTGTTTGGAAGGGTGGGACCAACGGACCAACTGTGGCCGGCACCTAAAGATCGTGACCTGCGCGAGCGGCCGGACCACGCCAAAGCCGGTCATCTCAACGCTGTACCTTCACAACAGGCCTCACATGATGACAGCATTCGTTGCTACAACAATTTCGCTCATGCCACATCATCTATGAAGTCCTATCACTTGGGTATGGAGAAAGTAAAACGATGTCTTCCACACCAGTACCACATGCCCCTGCATAGGTATTGATCCAATAATCACCCCAGTTCATGCAACCGATCGCAAGTTCCAGCAATCATAAGGCAGATTGATGTTCACGCATGTCATGGGCACCGGTTGGAAATGAATCGGTCGTAGTTCGAGTTATAGAGCAAAAAACTCAAATGAAGAGCGCGACTTTCAGGGCTCAACCTCGGTCTGCAAGATCTGGATCTGAGAGGGAAATCCAGTAGTAGCGTCCTTGCTCCTAGTAGTAAGGCCAGGAGCCCCGAGTAGCGTACTTGCATGAAGCATGTAGCTTTAGAAAGCGTAGAAAGCGTATATACATATTCATATGCTTTACATCTTGATGTTTCTTGGTCTTGCCAAATGCAGCACTTCCACCGATTTCAATTCCAATTAAAGCTTAATTAAATCGTAATTCTAGTTATTGTTTGTGTCTAATAGCTTCTTGCTCCTAGTAGCGATGCCAGGAGCCCCTAGTAGCGTGGTCCTTGCTCCTAGTAGTAAGGCCAGGAGCCCCTAGTAGCGTCCTTGCTCCAAATCCGGGCCTATAAGACCTTGACACACTAAAACCTCCGAGGCTGCCGCCAATTCTGGTTCTGCAAGAACTCCATGTCCGTCAGAAAAGCCCCACGAACCGTCTCCAAAGGCGAGAATTGCAAGTCATACTCAATGCCTTGGTCGAAACGGATCAGCATAGCTTGAGTCTTGTTCCAAGCACGGCAGGGTGGGGACCAGCTCGATTACAGGAACCTGAACGAATTTGATTTCTCAAGTCACCTCGGCAGAAAGAGAGAATAGAGAAACATAAACAGGCTTTCTTTCAATGAATTGGGGTGCCTATAGAAATTCTCTGTTCATAGCCTATCCTTCTTTCGTCCTCGCATAGTGCCGCTTTGTATTACTTAAACAATCTTCTGTACAGTACTGTAAATGTTCTATAAAGTTCTTGCACCTTGCTGATCTCAGCACACTCAGTGTGGAAACAATCCCCTGCTACTGGACACGGTGTTGTTGCAGTGACTTCCTTCATAGACTCGTAATCACTCGTAGTGCTTGATCTTGACAACCAACTGGGCTTCGCTGCTGTATCCGGAGCCATCAAAGTCCCAGAAGCTTCCAGCAATGGAAGCCTCTCCTGTCAAGAAGTCTGAAACAAAGGTTGAAACCAGTGGGTATTGTTAGACGGCTGATGAACAGAAGTGAAGAAATGGACAAATGACATCAAATGACCACTTGCAAGACACCTTTCTAACAATCATCGCAAACATCAGATCGGCCGTCGTTGGGCCAGAGTCTCGCTCCATCTACACTCTAAAGCTGGCTAAGCTGCCTTGAACTTGCGGGTGTTGGGTCCAAGCATCCAGGCGCTCAAGGTTTAGGAAAAACTGAAGACACAAGACCAACTGACTCTTCCAAGAGCCACGGCTAGCGTGCTCACCCAGAAGCACTGACCAGGCTGGGCATAGTTCTCACAAAGGTCTCACGACTCTTCTTCAAGCGCTTCTTGCAACATGCTGACCGCGTCCTCCAAAGCCTCTCGACCTTCATGAAGGGCCTTCTCTGCAAACTTCTCAGCTTCAGGATAGCCCCTCGAGGCCTCATCGCTGGCAATGCGATCTGCAAACCTGGCAGAGCCTGGGACAGCAGTTTGGCACAAGCCAAGGAACAAACCGCATTGTGATGGACTAGATAAAGGAAACGGACTCGTCTAGATTCTAGATGAGTGTAAAGAATTTCAAAACAGCCCGTCCGGGTGTTACTCCCCCATTATTATAGCTCCTTCACCATATGGTGGGGTACTGGAAGGACTTATCCGAAAATATAGATATATATTGTATAATATAATAAGTTGAGTACGTGTATAATACAACTCCATGATGTCCTATCAGCACCAAGGCCACCAAGGGTGCGCAAAAGTCAACCAAGAAACAATCAAGACAATCAATGTATGACTGTATGACCCAACAAAGACAAACAAAGCCTGTTCGGGGTTTGGAGGCTCTAACAATCTCAAGCATGGTTGCTGCGACAATTGCAAACCCCAACCGATCAAATTGAAATTTAACAAAAAGCAACAACGGCTTGCATAGCTTGCAAACGCTTACTTACAGTAGCCTGAGTCATCAACAATGCCATTGCCAGCAATGAAGTATTCCACCACAGAAGCAATATCTTCAGCCGCGTCCATGCCCCGCTTCCGGATCACTTCCCGACTGGATCGGCTCTTCACTTCTCCAAGCTCGAAGTCCAAACGTCTTTGGGGCTCCGACCACTGGAACCACTGTGCCAAGCGCTGTCGAAGACCCATGCGAGGCCCACGCGCGGCGTAGTCATCCTCAATGGACACCAGCGCGCTCAAGGCCTCCGTGAGTGGCACTGAGGGCGGTGGCTTGGAGACGGTGCTCACGAAGCCGCCAAACAAATAGAAGAAGATGAGGCCCAAGATCCCCACGGGAATCAAAACGATGCCCCAAATGAAGTCTAAGGCTACTGCTTGCGGATTGCGTCCGGTCTCCACTGGGGGATCACCTGATCCCTTCCCCACAAGCTCAGGCGGTTGCACCTGACCTTCCCCATAAAGCATCGTCTTCGTTGTCTTTGTGGACAACCGTGCCCACCCACAGAAGGTCGGACAGCCGCAAACAAGGAGTGACAAGTAAAGCAAGGCCCATGATTTCTTGTGCCTTGCTGTGCACTTCATTGGGACAAATCTCCTCAAAAGCCGAGGTGTTCCTGTGAGTGATGCATCAAACGGGTTCCTTTGAGCCTTTGAGTAAGAGAAACCTCGGGACTGCTATCCACATTGAATAGAGTGTTCAAGACTTCCTGCCCGTGGGCATGTTTTATCAATGCAGCATGCATGCTGTGAGCCAAACAAATAGTGCGCAGTGCAGCCGCGAAGCGCAGCATCAACATGTGATTTTTGTGCGTGGGGTATCAGGAGCAGCTGACAAATGCCCTAGCTTTCCATGAATCAAAAGAACATCGGTGGATCACTAGTTGGCCTGCCGCAGATGTGCTTCGTTCTTCTCCGAAGCTCCATGGCTGAGTATTGATGTGGCGGCCATCCTCAGCATCATGTCCGGTCCTCTCTTTCTACATTGTCACAGATGGGTTACTTTCCACTGCAACTCCATGACTGCAAAAGAGTGATCCGACTATTGTGAGTAAGACGTTAGTAAGACGTCTCTACAAGGGGCCTGTTCAAATCATCTCACACCAAAGCCCCTGAGCCCCTGAGCCCTTCACGAATCCGGACCTGTTGGTGAAGTAGTCTTCCACCTCGACATTAGTGCTGGTCTCTGCCTTGGATGGGCAGGGGCCCTGGTGCGAAGTGATATGTCTCAACTGCAAAGTTGCTTGTATGAACGTACTTCCATTGGGGAAGGTTTGTTCAATATTTGCAGGTCTTGAACAGCAAAATTTCTTTGGGAAAGATTTGTCATGTGCACTTCCCAGTAGAATTCACACTTCAAGAGTCAAGTAGAGCTGCAAGCAACTATCAATGCTTTTGAGTCTGTCAGAGTTATGTCATCAACTATCTTTTGGGGGTCTCAACGACAGGATGGAGGTTTGCGTCAGGGGTGAAAAGCACAGTTGCCAAAGCTGCTCCTTTTCATTCTTCTTTCAGGCTCCGCAGCTGAGTAGAGGCTTTCAGAGATGTTTCCAAAGCTGAGTAGTAGAACTCTTCCGGGGTTCTCCACATGGGGGTTGTCCAACAAAGCTCTTCTTTTTGAGCTTGTATCGCCGGCCTTTCGCGACCCTTTCGCGTTTGCAGAAAAACCACAGGTTTTCCTTTCGCGCATTGTGATGAGCTTGTTCCATTGCACTGAGTTCACAGTGTTTGGGACATCTAAATCCCTTTTAGTGCGCTGAGAAGCAGGCTAATTACCCTTTGTCAATTCATACTTGAAACAAAGGTTTCAAGGCTTATTTCAAGGCCATGGGCAAATGCCCTTCCAGGCAATGCGCTCTTTCGCGGGCCTACCGCCGGCCTTTCGCAGCCCTTTCGCGAAAATCCGTGTTTCTGTTCAGGAAAAAGGATGTGTCATGTATTATGCACATTGTATGTAAGTCTAGGTTGGCACGTGTCTTTCGCTGTCCTATCGCCGGCCTTTCGCGGACTGCAGTTTCCCTTTCGCGGCATGTTTGTTTTAACAGTTGATCGAAATTCCTTCACTGGCAATAACGGACCGCCCTCACATGACATCCACATCATCATTCCAGCACGACCCAACAGCCCCACAACACATTTTAAAGTATTCTAATCACTCGACTCATCAATGACAACATCCATACATCGATGACAGTGTCGTGAAACCGAAGACTATCTTGTGAAATCGATGACGACGTTCTCCACACAAATGTCAGAAAATGTCAGAAAAAGGCACAAAACACAACGGCTGTTGTGGGCGGTGGCCAAAAACAAGCCGCATTATCCAATCTAAACAGCAACCACACATGTTCCGTGCCATGCCCTCGACTTGAACATGATGATGCCTTTGAATGCTTTTGGCAAAAAATTGAAACGGACCCTACTAGGGAGATCCAAATGACTCATGAGCCAAACTCCAAGGTCGCCGATCTGGGCTCCATGCAGTCAGGGCTGTGTATTGTGTTGCAAAGCCTCGTAAGCGATGGGATTTGAATATAATATAGCTATGTTTTCTAGATGTTTCTTCTCAGATCGTGCTATGGCGCGTTGATATTTTCCAGGCAGAACTCGGTTTCGTTGGCAAAACCTTGGCCCTGCGTATTCAGAGGGTTTATAGTACTTATATAAATAAGATCTTTTGAGCACCAGACATGTCACATTCACAGGTACGGCATAAGCAGAGTCCTGGGAGCAGGAGCTGAGACCCAAGGCAAGAGCCAGCGGCGGTCTGGAAAAGGTAAGTGGACATTACCAAAGTAGATACGTGCAAGTCATTTGCAAATCCACAAAAAAAATTGAATTACTTCTTTCAGTATGAAAATGCTTCAAGAATGTCCTCACAAAAGTGTTTCCAAGAGAATCTGCAAGCCAGCCTAACTCCATGATTACTTTGGATGTTCTTCCCCCGGCTCTCCAGCTGTGCACACCGCGCAGCCGTTGGCGGCTGAACCTCCTGCAAACGTACCTGCAAAACGGATTGTTGAGAAAGATTCAACTAAACAACTGGCAAACACAAAAGTGTTCTTCTAGATTACTGTCTGTATATAATCGTTTTAGGAAGAAGTTCAGCCAGTTACGGTCTACCTGCAGGCCTGCAAATAGCCCACGGGATAATTGTATGTGCGCAAAGGTGATGACTTGACCAAGAGTTGGTCCTTGGTGGTCGGACATCTCTTGGTGGGGATGAGTCTTGTGAGATGAGTGCCTTTCAGTGCAGCCTTCACCCTGCAAGTATCTTTAAGTGAAATCAGGAGGGGACACTTTGGGCATAGAACTTGGAATGACAACTGTTCTCCATCAGCCACCTCTAACACCTCTAAAGATTCACTCTTCATTCGGAGTACTGGGCTTTGGACAGCCACCGTGTCAGAGAGCCTCTACAGTTGCTGCAGAGCGACACCAAGCAAGTGAGTTCTGAAACCCTGGTGCGCTACGTCGCGCTGTTTGCATCAAAAGAAAGACAACCTGAGAAGCTGCAAAACGAAAGCCAGCGCTTCCCTTTCTCGACAACTGCGCATCGAAGCAATCAAATGAGCTCGCGCAGCCGCTTGCGGCCGCGTGTCAAATCTGCTTCATGTCTTGTTCTGCCCACACATAGGTAACCATGCAAAAGCAAATGCACTCTTGCATCACCACCCGCTCCAAAATCACTAAAACATCACCTCCAAGAGTTTACGTATACCTTTCTCGGGCCACCCGGCCCCCCCGACCCCCGACCGACTTCACACATAGATAATTCCCATCCACATTCAGATGAAGCAAAAGCCAAACAATGCACCAAAGTTCGAGGTGGCCTGGGACCAGAGGCTCGCTGCCCGAAACTATATGTTCAGGCCACCTCAGAAATGAAGATATGCGAAGCAAGGGTCCTGAGGTCCAGCCTGAGGTGTCTCTGTGACAAGGCTTTTGTTAAAACAGACCGTTTTTCAAGCTAAATTCAAGGTGGCCTGAGACCAGGGTTCGCTGCCCTAAAACACTCTGTTCAGGCCACCTTAAAAATGAAGGTCTG